GCCTGAGAGCTTCTTTCCCTGTAGAGAGACGAAGCTGTGACTATCTGGGCAGACAGAGGCAGTTGGGAGGCTTTGGTATGGGCTCAAGAAGAGCCTGCACTGCCTGAATTTCCTATGAACTCCCTGGGATTCCCAAAACTGTTCAGGTTCCCTTGGTGGAGAAGGCCATTGTATGGGCTTGTGTCAAAGGACACAGCAGTTTTCAAGATGGGAAGAAACATCCATCTTGATTTGTGGTGTAGAGATGGAGAAAAACTCAGACTACAGTCTCAGCTCATCCTGGATGTCTGGCCAGTCAGCCCACCTAGATGCTCCATGTAGCTGCTGAGTTGGTGGCTTTCAGTCAGGATGGATTCTGGTCCTCAGCTATCATATGTATGTGTCTAGTGGGTTTTTTTTTGTTGTTTGTTTGTTTTTGGGGGGTTGGGTTTTTTTTGGTTGGTTGGTTGGTTGGTTTTTGTTTTGTCACAACATAGAGGGGAGTGGAATTTACTAGCATCTTGCAGATTTAGACGAGAATGCAGCTTAATATATACAATGAGGAAGACCGCCTGCAACACAAACGAAAAATTTTCTGGTGTATGCACACAAAACATGGCTTCTTGCTTTTTATTATAACTAAGACTTAACCTCTTTTTGCCTCTCCATAGGTCCTGTAAATGAGGCTTAATATTTCAACCTCCTTGTCAGATGTGAACAAAAGTAATTTTTACAAGTTTCACTTCTGAAGCATTTTTTGGTCTTTCTGGATTTCAGGCCATTTTTATGAGAAGCTACACACAGTAACCCAGACACTGACTTCTGATTATCACACACAGTGCAGAATGTTCCTTTAGAGTTTTCCCGGGACTTAGAAATTCCTGCGTCAGAATTCCTGGACTAGGATACATAACATAGTATCCTGTGTGATTACTTATAATTATTGTGGCAGCAGTATATTTGACTTTCTCTAGGTAGAAATGTCCTGGAGAAAGAAAACGAAAATGAAATGTCATTGTATGAAAGTTAGAAGGTAGAGTAGGCACA